ATACTTTTTCCCCCACAGACAAATGGACACGGCCCTCAATTCCATATTGTCTTTGACCTGACAACCACATCCTCCGCTTCCAAACCGCAGCTTAATCTATCACTTGTACATCAGTTTGACGATACGGTCTATCGAATGGACAAACCCGCAATCCCGGTAAGCAAATATAAATCATTAAATTTGGGAGTGATTTGAATTTATATCAAATATAAAATTGATTTTGAAAAAGCCCTCACTCCCCGAAAAATAATCAGATGCATTAAACAAATCTGTTATGTGTGCAGTACACCCTTACGCGAAATTGTCGCTGAAAGACGCACACGACAGCTTCAGGTTTTGAACTCTTTTCACTAAACATCGGTCTTTGCCGCCTTTTTGGCGTTGATTAGAGTGCAACGTAAAATAAACGTTTATCTCTGTTGGTTAACACGTTACATGATCCACCACACTTTCCTGTAATTTTATCCCCAGCATAACCAATTGAGGTGTATCAATATCTATCCTCCGAGAGAAGGAGAAAAACCAACAACTCAAGTGTCCGCACGACAGAGGTGGGCCGAAGTCATAAAATTCGCTTGATTCTAATGAGTCTTGATCTTCGCCAGCTCTTCTATTTTTACAGAACCGTGGCACTGGCATTCCATATTATTAGGTGTAGGCATTTTAAACCCAAATATCCGTTTTACTGCTAACTAAGTGGGAAAATTTAAACTAGCCCATCAGACGATATACACTTTTCTGGGGTTTTGATTGACTTTCCAAGCGAATCGGACATTCCAACGGATCTGATCACAACCTAAATTTGCACTCTACGGACGTCTGCAGTGTCAGCTAGATGTGGACACCATCATCGATTGTGCATCAATCACATCTTACGGTTTCACGGCCTGTTTTTACCGGTGTAGAGACTGAACGTCTGTGACAAATATGATGATCATGAAAAAATCAATATATGGGGTTGGATGTTTGTTAGATTTAATCTGAGGTGACCAGTGTCACATTAAAATAACAAGTTACTAAACGTAGTCTCTAAATTTCGCTCCCTTTTTTCTACCTCACTGTAAGACGTACCGCAATGCAGGCTGCAGATTATTATAACATGATTTGTTTTGCAGTCAACCCCTTCGTCGAAACCGTTCTGGGCACGATTGTGTGAATAAGAAACTGAAAATATCGGACTGACTTTCGGTGGTATCGTGACAGTGCACTGGTGCACTGGCATTTGAGGGCCTGGACTAAACCCGTCCTGGTTTGAGTCTTTACATCTTCTAGAGGCGTGGAAACTCAATTAAACATGCACCAAAGTTGGGGCACATTGTTACGAGGGTTGGTACCGTTCGATGTCAAGCCTTCCTGCCTTGTTTGGGTCTTGGTTACCACAAGTACACCCCGTGATGCAGCCCCAACACCTGTCATTCGTTTGCTGATAGGCCCGCTTACCTGTGTGAGCTCGGTGACTCTCATCCGATTGCCTAAGTCACGACCGGAATGAGCTCCCGTATCAGCTGATGCCAACGCTACTGCATAAATTGGGGTGACAGGACAGTAATTCACTCAACCAGAGTCTCTTTGTTTGGCCGTCACACTGTCAAGTGCTGCTGAGCAATTGGGAACATTCCGGGCTCGAATATTAAGGTGTGGATGTTTGTCTATCGATCGGTTTGGGAGCCAATTTGATTCCGAATTCACGGACTATGCTCTCGTGGTCTCTGATATACGCTTCTGATCTCAGTTCCGGTGCGTGTGGAGTGATCAACCTGTTGGTGTTTTGAAGCACCGCGTTCAATCCCCATCCATCTCAGTGCCTCAGATTTTCTCAACCTACCAAATCTCACTGTGGCTAAGTTGCTCTTCCTCACTGGCCTTCAAGTAAATCATGGGCCGATTTCTTTGTCATATAGACTGTCGTACCGTGATCTGTTAAGCACACAATCTGGAGTCACATACGTAGGAAAATAGACAATGAGGCGCACTGGTACAAAACTGCACCCACCAATAACTTTGCTGGATGGAACTTTACAACGGTTTTACTGATTTATTATCTATAATTGCTTCTTTAATGATTTTATTGCATTCATATTATGGTATATAAGTCGTACGAAAGGTGAATTTTCGGCATTTTTGCTTTAAGTTGTGACTTTGGAGGCCTGTCAGTTGATTCTCGCCTCCGAGAAGACCGAGAACGCATATTATTTTGGAACA